TAGCTTTTGCATGACTGAATAGACGTACTACACGTGCGTGGCTAGCGCAGCCATGCTTGGTGCATTTGAAGCAGGAACTGAGAGACTAAATAAATGTGTTAACGACCTGTGAGATCAGGAATTAAGCTGTTGCGACTCACCGGAGCGTGAAGCAGAGTTGGGTACATGATATAACTATGCTTTGGCATACATCAACATGATTTTACAAAGGGGAGCTCACATACCAACGATGATGGTGTGCCACAATGATGTCCAAGTGGTCCATTAGGAGGAGACATTTTTAGCTGTGAGCTGAAGTGAACTGATGATGAAAGGCCAAGTAGAGACGGCGCACCTCGAGAGCTTGCTTATAGGTGCCATCTCCTGTCGATATCATTATTGCAATATTACCTGGAGACCAACTGGCACTTGTCGTTGTTCTCACTAGCTCATGAAATGTTGACGAGACGCACTAGAGCTAGCTAGTTTGCAAATGCATGCCGCAAGTTCACCTATGGAGCAATATAGTTTATAGCACCCTCGCATCCTGCGTAATCGACATCGCGGACTCGTCCACATCGTATATCGAACGCAAATCTCTGTCGCTGTCCCCCACAAACGAGCCACTGAGCCAGCTTAGAAACCCGCTGCCTCGAACTTCACTGCGTACGGTTTCAATTAGCAAGAATAACCACCTAAAATCATACATATTGATCATTCTTTGATATTTTAGCATTCAGCCGTCGCTCATCATGGTATCCAGAGGTCAGAGGAGGAGGGATATAAACGACACGGTGCGAGCGCCACTTGAGTCGGGGTGGACGCTGGTTAAGCGTTTTTATCGGAGTTCAAAAAGCAGTCCATACACCGGCAGCCAGACCGAATCAACCCATCTTCGCGATAGGACTCTTGCGAGAGCGAGGGGACAGAATGAGATAGGCCATCTGTACCGCGTCCACTGTTCCGACACAACGGCTCCGCCGACATGCCGGACATGCTGAACACCTTTTGATCTGAAATCTATTCTGTAAACCGTTACAGATCCTTACGGGAAGGCATCCGGTGTCGATAGCGCGTCTGAGTAAGCTGTAAAGCTCGTTTGGCAGCTCACGACTAAGCTGACTTGCCACCCCTAGCTTTTGTAACGGCTGCTGCTGCGAGAATTCACGGCACCTCTTCCGAGTTTTTGTCAGCAGAGAACTATAGCAATGGGGCCCTTACCTTCTTCTGCGAGTCTGATCATGTCTCCACCTGATTTCAGCGGCACCTATGGCTCACTTCTTGTTGGGGGACTGGTAGCTGCTGTGTAGGTTGCTCTCATCAGGTTTGTCCACCACCCTCCGACTTACAATGTGGGTCCCATTTCATAGGTTGTACGGGATTACAGCCCTTCAGACAGTCGTATATTGCCAGCACAGTGCCACGCGAGATGGCTGGCTCATCAAGATCACAGTGCGTTCACACCTGCTCCCTCATGAGTCCCCCCTTGACTGATGCATACGCCACTCGTGATCGCACAGGTCGGCTCTCTGTGGTAAATAGGCGGTCTGGCCCTTTAGCATGCTTTACTAACGACATTGTGGCCTAGGCTTGTGGATACGTTCGACATGGCCGCCATTTCCCAGCTTATATACTGGTATCTCATCACCAACTTTGGTAATCCGTCGTCTTTCTCACAACCAGTTGTTTAGTAAGAGATTTGTCACCATTCGCACTGTGGCCTGATATATCGTGTACACGGCAGGGGCATGCTTGTAGGTGGCGTAAGCCTTCATATGCGATTCAAAACAAACTAATCACTGCATACAAGGCACATCTCGCTGCCACAGTAAGTTGTTGATTACTCATCGGCATGGATCAGCTCTAATTCATATGTCTCCAGGCCGCTACTGAGGCAACAGTCAGGTGTGAGTTGCTCTCGCTGCAGATCTAGATAGCCGCATTTGAAATTTGCCCCCCCCCCCCCCCCCCCTCCAGAATGTTTACTCTACGAGTATGGAAACGTATGTCTTCGCCACTGACTCAGCTGTGATCTGATCCTCATTTTCCATCGTGTAGTAAGCGGAGGCAAATGGCTTCCTGCTCTGACAGTGGTGAGCACAGTGCTTCTGAACCCTCATCTGTTTACGGCACTTACTGATCTCGTCTTCCGGTGTAGGGAGTTATCACGCTTTTGGACCTAAGTGAGTACTACCTGGGCATTTTCCTGAGTGGAGAACTGTTTGACCTTCGACACATAGTACTCGATATCAGTGAGTTTGTACCGCTGGAATATACTCGCGTACCCAGACTCAAACCTGAGTTCAATGTGGAGTCATGACCATTGAATTGCGAGTAGAGTGAATTCGTTCCGCATTTTCTTACTGACGACAGGGCTATCTCAGCGCAGGACAACCGTTCTTCGGGCATCAGGAGATACAGGTGATATTGCATCCAGGGAAGCCATTAGAGTTTTTAATGTGGGCTCTACAGGCAATCGTTTTCACTGAATTCGCGGCTACCCTGCTAGGCGACACGTTGATTGCTCTCTTTCTCTGCTATTACCTGTACAAGTCCAGAACTGGCTTCCAGACTCGGTGAGGACGGACTTGCAATTTCATAAGGAGCTCTGCTGAAATGGATTATATCCGTAGAACAGATTCTGTTATTACGATTCTGATGGCATACGTGATAAACACAGGTGCGCTCGTTGTACTCACTAATTGCTTTGGGCACCACTATAAGGCATCATCCAGGCCTACTCGCTGTGTATGTAATCTCAAATGCTTCCCATTCGTGTCTGACGGCCTGAATCAGTGTTACACTGACCGCTAATGTTGCATTGGTAAAGTTATTTCTACTCTCATACCCTGGCCTTGACGGTGACGCGGTCGAACAGTTCGCCACTGAACGCCATTACGCCGTCTCTATCGCAATGTACTTCACTATCAGCAAATGTACGATGTTTCTCTTTCCCGTCGTTCTGCAGCCGCTCTGATAGCTCCCATTCGTAGTGTATCTAAACGCCTATCTCGCCATGTACGTGTGTGCTTTTAGCGTACCTTCTTGCGCTGATATCATTGGATGGATACCACTTTTCTGGACAAGGCTGAATGCACGGACGGGCATCCGGCAGAAGCTGGGAGAAGTCAAACTAACGGCACTTCTGCCGAATTTCTCTGACGCAGCCTCTGCGAACTCCAATGATAGATCAATCTTACCGCAGAGATCACGTTCGTCTGTCGAGGTGTGTAAGATCTTTTAGAAAGGGTTCTCGAAGCAATGATTGACTGCTCTGTAGGAAGCTGCGGGCGGTATTTCTTCCGGAGCCCCGGGGTCTGAATTTGTTCCTTGTAGCCTTCCGGAAGAACAAAGGTACAGAGTCTACAATTCAGTATCCTCTCGCCATAACTGATTGATCTGCTTTCAAAAGTCGCGACAAATACACAGTTGTTTGAAACGTGCGGCGGCCCTACACTGCCGGAAGATATTTATATTGGCTGATTGGTTAGGGATTAATATGACAATATGTGCAGTGCGTCATCACGAATAGGCAGGCCAGATTTACTCGTACTGTAAGCTGTAGCAAATAAGAGAGCTCAAACGCAAGTGCATACGAGTGGAACGACGGAGGGAGCAAAAGGGGCTTCCTCGAGCATTCTTCTGACGTATGCCGGATAACAAGCAATCCGGGATACCAGGAAAAGCACAGCCGTTGGTTATGACGTCATTTTCTGGCAACGCGGAGCTTACGTCAGTACGCAAGCGCGGGGGTGGGGGAAAGTAATTCTTATATATTATTCCATCTTCTCTCTGCACATGGTACGAGTCTTCTTTATGATTCATTGGATTTTGTTCACAGCCCTCTTGCCAAAGTCATCAACGATAGCTGCACTGGACAAAGCTTCCCTTCCGAAAGTCGGTAGTAAGCTGGGAGCGAACTAAAGCCTTGGTTGCTAGCTAATGTCTAAATTTCAAGACGTCCTATGCACAGACTGGAAGTTGATTTCCCGTGCCCCTGGCAGCATCCGAGCAGGCGGCAGAAAGCAGTAATTGGCCGCGGACTACGCAAGGTTAGACCTCAGCTTCCCCACCTCAGGGACCAGGGCGATACAACCTGTGTTCATTTGACCGCTTGCCACTGGCAGATATCAACGTCCAGCAAGCAAGATCAACATCAGGTGGTAGATGAGAACACTGCCATGGGAAGCCGTTGTCCGCATCTGTCTCTTCTCGCGCTTCAGCGCTGTCAGTTCCCTGCTTCCGACCAATCAGCCCTGATGATTCTTATAAGCCGCAGCGGTCGTCCCGCCGCCCATACAACTGTCTCTTTGGCTTTCGCGACGCCTCCTACTGCAGGGACGTGTTTTTCATATTCCAAACGCTGCGCCACCATCTACTGAGATCTATGTCGGCGACACCTTCACCTCCTGTTATAAGTGCGGATATGCCACCGCTAGACCTGAACGGCACCTTTGGCGCATTGCTCATTGGAGCGCTGGTGGCTGCTGTGTACGTTCTCTTATCGAACCTGTAACTACCACATAACTTATAGTACGGTTTCCGTCGTACTACTAGATTGTACGGAATCACGGTCCTTCAAACAGTCGTGTATTACCAACACAGTGCTGCTCAAGATGGCTGGCTGGTCAGAGCCGCAGTGAGTCCGGACGTACCTCTCTCTGTATACTCTATTTCCTGACGTAGGTACTATGGCGACATAGGTCGGCTCTCTGTGGTAAGCCAGCGGTTTGAGTTCTTCAGTGCGCTTCCCTGATGACATAACAATCTAGGCTAGTGGATACGCTCGACACAGCGCTCCTTTCCCATATCATATACTGGTATCTCGTCACCAACTTCGGTAGCTCGTCGGCTCTCATGAAACCGCTAGTCTGGTAAGGGATCTAACCACTCGATGTGCTGACTGATATATAATGTACGTTTCAGGAGCATGTCTGTGGGTAACATACACCACCACCTACAATCTGATGCTGACTGAATATGCTCTGCAAGGCGCATCTCGCGACTACAGTAAGCTTCTCACTTCTCTGTGATAATATCCCGTGGTCAACTATCCCTCTCTCCCTCCTTTCTAGGCTGTCACTGAAGTGGTAGTCCGATCGTGAGCCACCGTTGTTGCAATATTCACGGAGAATCACGTCTAATCGAAAGCTGCGTAGAATGTTCTCTCTGCGAGTATGGCGATGTATATGTCCAACTACTGAATATACGTCCTGTCGCTAATTCGCTGCTGTATAGTGAGTGGAGGAAAATGGCTTCCCGCTCTGACGGTGGTAGATCACATTCGTCTGCATTTGTACCTCGACACTTGCTGATTTTTTTCCCGATGGTAGGGAATTGTCACGCTACTAGATCTAAGTGAGCACGACGAGAACGTCATCGCGAGTAGATTAACTAGCCCTTCCGCGTACAGTATTCGGCATCGGTGAGTTTGTGCTACTGGGATAAGCACGAATACGAACTTAAGTCTTGGCTTGCCGTGTAGTTTTGACCGTAAGATCGTAAGTATGCTGGATTTTTAAGCGCTTGCCTACTAACGGAGACATTATCGCAGGGTAGGCCAGACGTGGTTCACGCTTCAAAAAATTCAGGTAAGGTTTCAACTACCAGGTAGATCTCGCGCGTCTCACGCGGGTGCCATACAGGCATTCGTGTTCGCCCAGTTTGCGACTGAGTTGTTAGGTGATACACTGATTGCCCTTATTCTCTGCTACTACCTCTACCAATCAAGAACGGGCTTTCGAAGGTCAATATGATATTGTAGCTCGATAGATCATTCTGATGAAATGGGCTGGATATACAGGACGGATTCTGTCCTTACGACCCTTATGGCATATGTGATAAACACGGGTACGCTAAAGTTATCGTCACCATCGGGCGTCCGTTTATGACCAAGTCATCGCTTAGGATTACTGACGGCGTATGTCTCCTGAAAAGCTCCTCTTTTCACTTCTGACCGCATAATTTAGCATGGCGCTAACCGTCAACATTGTACTTGTAAGTCACGTTTCACCTCATTTCCTGTCATTTGATTAATATGTAGTTACGCAGTTTGCTACTGAGCGCCACAACTTCGCCTTCGTCGCATTGTACTTCGTCATCAGCAAGCGTACGACCTTTCGCTTTCTTATTACCCCTCGACCATTCTGATAACACCTACTCGCAGTTTATGTGAATGCCTACATTGCCATGTACGTGTGTATCTTCCCGGTTTCTCCTCAGTCTAACCTTGATGTTTGCGTTTGTGAACACAGGCTGAACGCACGGACGGGTATTCGACAGAAGATGGGAAATGTCGAGACGATAGTACCTCTGTCGAAGTTTTCTGACAGGAGCACCATGGGCATCAGCCATGCGTCGTTTGGACCGCGAACATCAAATCCATTCATCAAGGTACGTGAGCCGCCCTTTTGATAAAGCGGTGCTCGGCACGACAGTCCCCCGGCTTTGCAGGAAACACCGGAAGTTGTTGCTCCCGGGGGAGCTGAAGTTGTCGTTGACACCCTCCCAGTATTTTATAAAAGGTGGGTATTTCTCAACACCCTCCTAGCCCAGACGTTCTCAAGAGTAATTCATACTAGGGAGACAGTCGTTTAAAAATTGCGACAGCACGTATGTAATCCGCCTGGCGCGATGATGGTTGATGCGTGTCGGGACATGAACTTGGACGAATCTGTCACTGTAATTTACTCCGTGCACCATTACTTCAAAATTATAAGCCCAACTGCATTCTACTTGGCCAGCCCGTACTGCGCCTTGATAAGATCCGCAGCCCGTTCTGCGATGATGTACACGACAGCCTGTATATGGCAGCTCGGCATCGTGGGCTGTCACGTCCCGTGCAATGAGCGCCACCTTCGAGGATCAAAGGGGGGGAAGCAACTCACGAACACCGACGCGGAGTCCTGCCGTGCTTTTGACGCGCAGCTTCGAGTCTACGACGCCGTTTGGCGCGTCATCCGCCGCCATGGCGCACGAGCCGCATGGGTGATTCATCGTATACGTGTTTTCGCGCGCGAACGCGAGCTTGCTCGCGTCGTCATCGTCGATCGTGGCTGTTGGCCCGACGGGGCCGTTGATGTGACCTTTGAGCGGCGTTGAGCGTGTGAACGTGAGGGCACAGGTGATGGCGCGCGTCATGGCCGCCTGGTCAAACGGATGCGTGAGCAGCGCAGGGTCAATGGCTGGGGCGTCGAACGCATCGGGCGACGCGATCTGCACAGTCCCGCCTAGGGAGCACCTCGATCATTAGCTGTCAGAAATATTAGTCAGAGGGACTGTGGACATACTTGACAGCGGAGATGCAACTTCAGCGAGGACGCAAATGTAATTTCCGGTGGTTGGCGGGACCACATTCCCGAACGGCGCAAAACCATTCTGCGCCATCGTGTTAAGCTCCGGGGACCTACGTGAAAAAAGGCTCATGGACGTACGATATTAACCAGCTCTACGTGCGCCGAGCGGGGGCCCAAGGCAGGATCCGGGTGCTTCTGGAATACTGGGTCGCTGTCCTGCAAGCGAAGCAGGCTGAAGGTGTTCGCTGGTCCGTTGACGAGCAGCCCCTGGCGCTTCTCCTTCCACAGCCCAAGTGCGGCATTTATCGCATCGGGGCTGCGCACCACGGGGTCCCACGTATCGGCAAGGTCGACCTCAAAGTGCAGGGAGGCCATGGGGTGGTCCCGGTAGTTGCTTCCAACGTCGGGGTTGTTCACCAGGACAGGGATGCCGTGGGACGAGAGCAACTCTTGAGACCCAACGCCGGACAGCTGTAGGATTTGGGGTGAGCCAATGACACCGGCTGCAAGGAGGACTTCTTTCTTCGCAATGACAATGTGTCTAGGTCCTAGAATCAATGCGTCTATCGGTACTAAGGAGTCTGCAAGATGAGCGATGTACTCACCATCTCGGGCGTGTGCCAGCTCGACATTGCGGAAGTTCGCAGGCTGACTGCCAGACACAGGTACAAGTTTAGTGACCTGAGTATTGATCAGGATATCCACGTTCGGGCGACTAGCAGCGGGATATAGGTATGCGTGTGCAGAATTACTACGCTGTCCATTACCAACCGTAGACTGTACGTAGCCTAGTGGAGAGTATAAGGCAGAGCAAAGGAATTAGGGGCGTGTGGCTCAACTTGTGCCGAGATTATTCCCAGGATTGTAGTCTATGTTGAAGCTCCAAGTTCCGCCTAATTCCTCAGCGGCGTCGATTGAAAGCTTATCGAGTGAATATGGGTAACCGGGGGCACTGACCGCTACAGGACCCTGCCCGTGCGCAGATGGCTCAACGAAGCCATGTATATCCCGTCCGCCAGCAGGCGGAGCGAGGTGAGACGCCTATGTGAACGCAGGTCATCATCTCGCTGCCAAACCACAGGCACGAATGCGCACCTTCTTGAAACACTTCTGTGCGGTCTCCCAGCCCCAGCCTTCATCTTTCGTGATCTTCGCCCAGTTATCCCATAGATCTGATCCACCGTTTTGCCACAACAGCAGGTCTGCGGCAGCATCAGTGCACCCCATTCACGACTAAGAGTTACATATATAACGCTCACTTATGCAGGTGGTGCCTCCGAGAGCCTTGCCCCTCGCGCAAGGTATAGTGCGGTCCACCATACCTTTCTGGGCGGCTGTAACGTATTTCCAGTCCGCAGGACCCCCAGCCAGCTGCACGCCCAAAAAGGGGACTTGCACCAGGAGGTTCTCGGATTCACTGAGAGACAAATTAGAGACCTCTCAGGGTCGTAGGATGTAGATGAAGACTCACTTTCCACCGGCCTCGACGACGAGAACAGTGACTGAAGGGTCCTCGCTGAGACGATTAGCCAGCACGCTGCCGCCAATGCCGGCTATACGAAGAGAGCATTATCAGTAACCTCACATAATGACGCGACCCGTTACATACCACCAACGATTACAAAGTCATATTCCGGCCGCAGGTCGGAGAAAGACGTGAAGATCCTTTGGCTGGCCATTACTTCGCAGGGGAGGTTCTCTCTTAGCAGCGCAGCTAGAACAGCGATGGAGGTGGTTTGTGTCGCTGTATCGCACACACATTGCCTTAAATGCTGGAGGGAGCACCCTGAGAAGCACCCCGGGCGGTGTCCCTCCGAGTCGGCCTACTTCCCTGTCTCCACGCTGATGGAACCCAACAACCTTCAGCGTTCCGGCGCCGCAGATTGAGGATGCATTGCTTTTGGCTGTTGTGGATCAATGCCAAGGCACCTCCTCGTAGGCCCAAAATGTCACACAGAGCAGCCTCCGCTGTTTGTGTCTGATGACGTCGCGGCCAGGATGGAATTTATGGCACTCTTATGCCAACAGATAGATCCCGCGCCGGTGGATCAATGAGGGCGTCGCGGTCAGTTGTGCTGGCGTGGCTCGTCGGCAACGAGCCCACCTTAAAAAATCAGCAACACAAATCCGCGCCGCTCAAGGATCGCTTACATTGCCTGAGCCGCGCGGTGATGCGCGAATTATTTCATGTACGCACTCGTATAGGATACAGGCAGACAGAAGTTGTTGTTGTGTTGCCAGTGGGCCCGGCTCGCTACAGGCGCCTTTCGGATAATCCGCTGGCCCATCGAGCAAGAATAAGCTTCTCGTTTGACGCATTGACGAACATTGTCTTACAGCTGTTGATTGTTACGGAAAGAAATGCGCCGGCGCTTTTCTCAGGCGCGTTCCGTGGCATTCGATGCTACTTTCGGAAATCCCGACGCGTCGGCACCTAATATTCACGTGTCATCGCGCAGCTGCGGCGCGTCTGGTCACATTCTAAGTTACTACCCACCACATTCAAATCATGCACACGAGGCGCGAAAAAATTCGCGCCGAAAGCGTAAGAGAAATGTGAGCAAGTGTAAGAATTTCACATGTCTTCAACAAGATCAGCAAGTGAACAGTACACTGTTCTCCGACGCACCGCCTAACGAAGGAGATGCATTAATGCTGCTTGCTATCCCTTCTTGCCTGTTTACCATTACGTGCCATCATCTTGGGTTCTTAGAAGTACAGCAACTTGCTGGACAGCCTCCAGTACGTCTCCCTCGCACTCAAAGCGATCCCTGCGTACGAAATCCCGATGACAGGGTCGGATCTGTGCTTGAACGAAGGATAATGACGGGCAAAGATGGGCTGGTGCACAGGGAAAGAGCGGCTGAAAAATCATTTCGTTCGCTCGACCCTGCATTCAGGTCTGCGTAAGCAGCGATCCAGTGGAGAGTAATATTATTTGGTCAGCGAACACGCACTTCGTCGGTCTTGACAACACTGTCCTGACGGACCGCGCTCTGCAGAGCGTGGGCAACCATCCTCCAGAAGGTTAACCAGCTAGATTTATCAAGAGGCTCTGTTCGTCCAAAAGCAACACAAAACGCACTTCCATCCTGCATCCTGCTGCACCAGTTCCTGCACTACGGAGCAAAACTCGGCTTTCCACGCTCGCTCGTCCCCCGAGTGTGAAGTACGTAACATGTCCCGTACGTCTTCCAAGGCGTGCTCGACCTCGATGACCTTGTCGCACATGGACGAATAGAGTACAGGCAGGCCGACAGAGTTGCACCAGTTGTGGTTGATCGAGATGCACGCGGTCAGGTTCTCAACCTGGTGGTACCAGCCGCTCGGTCTACGTGCTTGCGTTAGCCTGAATCGCTGTATCCGGGTGAAAAGCCTACACGAATATCGTCTCCCCCGCTTCCTGCTCGACAACGAGCGGCCTCGTCTTCGCAAAGTCCGGAAATCGCTCTAGGTCCACACTCCTGACGTCGTGCACACACAGTTTGCGCGCCGGCATGAAGAGGTATGATGTCTGTTCCGGCGGAAAGAGCCACCACCGCTTGCGTCCGCAGACGTTCGTCGACCAGCTGTACGAGCAATACACGTCCCGGTGCAGCGGCGTGAACGTCCCCGCGGCGCCAACGTACACGAACCGGAAGTCGTCTGACGTGTGGGTGGTGTAGAACGCGTTCATCCAATCGTCGGCGAAGATATGTGGGGTGACGTAGAACGGTATAGTGCCGGTGCTACAAGTGGCCGGGGAAAAAACGGAAGGAGCAGACTCGATAGAGCGTGCGAGATGCCAGTCTTTGACGTAGAGCAACTGGCCTTCGCCGTTCTGCCACTGAGAGACGACGTCACGAAACCGTGCCGTGTCACATTCCAGGTTGCCGAACGAGTCGACTTTGGAACAGTTCGCCACAGAGACTACGTGGTCTCCGTAGGCGTCCGACAGGTGTTGCCAGTCGATTTGCCTAGAGCTCCCAGAGGCAGCTTCAGGTGGGGTTGGGACTGTCCATTCTCGTAGAGCTGGCCAGCTCTTGGCCAAATCTATTCCAATAACGACCGGCTTGTTTGGTTTGAGATATCGTTCAAGGAACTCCTCGTATGTCGGAGCGTCTTCCAACCTGTCAACGCCGTCTGGCGTTGGGTCGATCTGAGCCTGGGTCTCCCTCTCAAATTAGCGTCGACTGACCGAAGAATAAGTAGAACATAAGAGCTGATGGCCACAATGGACTCACAATCCAGAAAGAGCAGGAGATCAAGTCGTACGTACCATGGTAGTGGTGATGCGCAAGCCACCAAGACAGATCAATTTTGGAAGGTGGAAGCTTTTGTTCCTAACACAGACAAACATTCGAAGAAACTCAGCGAAAGCGCCATCACCGCCCCGAGCTGCGGCGGGAGTCCCGACGCGTCGGCATTCACGTGATGCCCTGCTGCGCTGCGAGACGACACCTAAGAAAGCACTCGGTTTCACTCTTCGCACGCGAGTCGGCGACAGCTAAGGCTGAAACTATGCAAGCAACTACTAACATACAAAAACAACGATTTCGAATACACTCGAGGCCGTCCTTCTGCGTCTCTTGCTGCGGGGGATGTATGTTATGCTCCCTGGTCGTCAAACCTCCTCGCCGCACGCTGGCATGTCATTGTCCATCAAAAAAATCACGTGGGTACTGCGCCTTGAGCCGTCCCTCTCGCACCAGTTAAAGTCGATGGGCATCGCTCCGCCGTTAAAACACCGCAGTGTGGTCGGTTTGCGGAGGCCCCGACCACGAGGCCGTTCTTGCGGACAATTTCCACTGCTGAGCGCGGGGACGCGCGTTCGGCGTACAACAGTGGGCGAATGCAATAGGAACACCGAATCCATCTTGACGACGAACACGCCGACACTCTCGGCCTCGTTGCAGTACCACAAACCTGAAGTAGGATTTAACGAGTAATCCGTGTCCTTTGCACGAGTACGTGCGTGCACAAACCTGACATCACCGATGTGCGTGTTTTGCTAGTCCCGAAGCTCGCCAATAAGCTGCTTGAGAAGGTGAATGTCGTGCTCCTTGGTGATCAAGCCGCCGCGCTGCACGCTCTCGTGCCATGGCATGTACGTCCCCATCAGGATGTCGTTCGGGTATCGCGCCTTCTCGGCCGTGCCGCATCAGTCAAAGCCGATAAGCATCGCTCCGCCCTCCGGGCGCCGTAGCACGTTCGGCTCGCGCAGGTCCCCAAATACGAGGGTCCTGGCGTGG